ATAAATTTATACAAAAAATACTTAAAATTTCCATTATCGGAAGACAAATATATATATATACTTGTCAATTCAAGATTAGACCCTTACGAATTTTTCACCACGCTCTTAGCAATTTTGCGAACACTATTCACTGACACATGGGTTTAACTAACATTTTGTAGTTGACTGATACTCAGTTGCAAGTTTTAATTATAATAATGATACTTGGAGGCTGCGAGGTACGATATTTGGAAACTTGGACGATGGTAATCAGTTTAATAACTTGTTTATTCAAAAATGCTTGAACATTTTCTTATTTCTCTATTTTGAAAATTGTTGGCCAAATTAGCACGGAATTAGGTACTAGCACGGAAATGGGTACACTTACCTTAGTGGATCATTAGGAACCACACCTATAGTGGCGCTTAACGTCATGTTGAACACGACGCCTGAGGATATTGCAGACAGAATTTTAGCAGCACGAACTACTATTAGGCTAAAGAAACCCGGGTGGTAACACTCTGGAGTTATGGCGGTTTTTTACTTCGCCCTGAACACATAGGTTACAGTGCCTCCGAAATTCCTCCCAAAAGCTCCTTCTCTACCTATATTCCCTCAAGAGGGGGCTGGGTAGGGCGGGGTTACTAAGGTTTCCGGACTTCTGCAGTGTCTTTCAGGTAGAAATAGCTGCCTAAAGGGTGTGATGGTGCGTTAGAAATCGGTAAAGGAATATCTAACTTCTAACTTTGGGTGCCGGGTCACAGTGACATCGCGCAAAACTGCGTGGCTGATGACCTGGCGTTGGAACGGCACCCTTAAAACGTTATCCCCAGATAAGGAGCAACTAGGGACGCCTCTGTCCTCCTGCGCTCGGCGAGCGCTAGACTAACACGCATACTTCGTACTCGCGATAATGAAATTGTATATTTTACTAAATACCTAATAAAATGGACAAAAGAGAGCGATGCTCCTTTTGTGACATAAAAGAGCAAAAAAAGACGTTTCTCCGCTGCAGCAAATGTTTTTATACGCACATTAAAACAATTTTTGCAGCGTAAGTAACGAGTGACCAATCTTTGCCCTTTTAAGGTCCCGAATACAATGTTACCTCTCAAGAGCTAGTGATGGGGGTTCTGACAAGCCATTGTCCGATTGATATTCACTCGGTAAGGTAACTAGGGATTTCAACTGATCCCTTTAATATTAGCTGTCAAGAGGAAGATGAAGTGGAATCATCTCCACGCTCTCTTTTATACTGTCCCATATTCGCGAGGCTAAGATGGAAGCATTTTGGCTCGCTCTTCTGAACTAACACTGAGCTCTCAGGGATCAAAATTAGCCGCATTCTAAATTTGGTAATCGGCACGCAGCGTTAACCTAACCAAACCTATCCTGCACCTTTGAGCTATGAAATAGCAACGGAATTTTTACCGAGTGAGGACGCAGGAGAGATAAATTGAAGAGAACCAAACTCTTTTGCATTAGGGGTATTCTCTGAGTCTTGCAAAGCCCTTGCACGGTGCACGGATTGCACGGTTTGCGAAGCTGTCCCATACGAAAACCGGTTTTTATCGTGCAATCCGTGCAATCTGTGCACCATGCAAGGGCTTTGCAAGACTCAGAGAATACCCCTATTGTGAACTGGAAGAAAACTAAAATTCTTTGCTTGAACGAGTCATGTTTACATGGTGTATGGCGAAATAGGAAAAGTAGGTATGAAGAATGTTTAAGAAGCCGCTTGTGTGGTGTATTTCGATCAGAGCTGGGTAAATGCAATTACATTACAATTACAATTACATTCCTCAGTAATTGTAATTAGGATTCAATTCCTTTAGTTCACAGCAAAGGAATCGATTACTTTTTCAATTCCTTGAAGTAATTTCAAATGGAATTGTTTTTTTCTTTAATTCCATTATAAGGAATTTCATATTGTAATTGGAATAAATTAAGTGCTAGTAATGTAATTTCTTTTATTTCAATTCCATTGAAAGGAATTGAAAATGTAATTTTTTTTCCAATTCCTTTGAAAGGAATTGAAAATGTAATTGATTTTTTTTCCCATCCCTTTCCTCAAAGTAATTTAAAAAGTAATCGAAAAATTTATAAAAAAAATCTTTTTCACTGTTGAATTGCAATAGCTTTGTTAAATTTCTTGGTTGCTAACCAGTGTACGAAAATAAACTATATTGTACGTTACTATTTCGTTTCGTTTACTACTTTAACAGTTCGGTACAATACGAAAACAAAACGGCTGAGTTCACTTTGGCGATAGTACACTACAGTAGTTAGTAGGTACATACGAAACAACAAACGAAATGAATCGTGCAGAAAAAAATATATGTATGTATGTACATATATGCAATAACTAAATACAAAACGAATGGCTGCAATGAATAAAAAAATAAAAATGTTTTTAATCGAATTGGATATGAAAATTTACAGAAAAAAATATTTTTCACGTAATTGAAACGTTTGCATACATATAAAACGTACCATATGGTACAATTGTCACAAACGAAATGCAAACGTTTCTCGTTGGGGAAAATGACAGTGAATCTTACAATTTGTTTCTGACTATGTACAAAACTGTACAAAACCACAAATGATATGATGATCGATGAGCAAATGGGAATTGTTTTGTACAGTTTATTTTCGTACCCTGTTGCTAACTGCCTTGAATAAACAACTTAAACCTAAGTAGTATTACTAATTGGACTTTACGAAAACTGAATAGCTTAAACTGTAGCTGTTCAGTTTATAGGGTAACGGTTAAATTTTCCAGATCCTACCGCGAAAGCGCTTCGCGGCAGCTGAGACCCATAAATGTTGCTGCCTAAGGTACTGCTGTTCTCTTGGACTAATCCCTGCGTATATATAAAAATGCACGAGTTAATTGTGTATATTATGGTACCCTTAATTCTACCCAAAATGGCGTGCCTTCTGGGGCCTTTGAAGTACTCTTACTGGTATCCTGCGTTACAAATGAGGATAGAGTCCGCTTGAATTACGAGCCCTGTGGGACTGGAGATCCTACCTCCTAAGAGTTTTATAAACAGATTTCATTGCTATGGCTAAATTTTGATGATAACACTGTAACGACGCTAAAATTACACAAAAAACGCCGAGAGACGTAAAATTAATTTTAAGTAGTATGTTACGGATCTGTATACTGTTTTTTTTTAGATAAGGTCATTTAGTCAAGTTATTTTCATTTTAAGTTTTCATTGCGAATGAAAAAAATTCAAACTTTAACATGGTCATGTACGGTATGGCGTATGGGTAACATTATTTCCTGCTAGTATTTCATACAAAAAATTATTGCACTTTCACTTAACCCTTGCAAACTTGTTTATTTATCCATCGATTTTCATCGGTAGTAGTGTTTTAAGCCGCAAAGCAAGCAGATATTGGCTAGTCTATACTAATATGTATTTTGAAAGGCGTTTTTTTCTGTTCGCAAAGCTCGAGAAAGGCCGTACCGATTTTTTTGAAATTTTGGAATCTACTACAGACTTTCCAAGGATGGTTATAGGCTAAAAAAAGTTTCGATATAGAAAGGGGGCGTGGCACCTCCCATACAAACCGAATTTTTCAAACTACATATATTTGTGGTAGAGGACTAGAACTGGGTATGGTGATACATACATAAATATATAAGACCAATTCCATACTCATGGAGAAAAATTTGCATGGTTGGAGAATGGGGGTGGCACCTCCCATATAAACCGAACTTTTCATAGTGCATATTTCTGGAAGTGTTCATGGTAGACTGTAAGCCTTTTTAAAACTCTTTAGTTTGACACCCACATGTCAACATTTCATTTACTTTATCAATTTCACTGAGTTACAATTTCCAAATAGCTGGCAGCCCCCCTCAAAAATATTTCCAACAGTTATCTTTCTTAAACCTCTTTAATTTGATACCCATATTGTAATATTTTATTTATTTTATCAATGTAATTTAGTTAAATTTTCAAACAGATGGCAACCCTCCTCAAACATATTTTCGGCAGTAAGCCTTCTTAAAACTCTTTAGTTTGACACCCACATGGCAATATTTCATTTTTTTTAACAATTTGACTTAGTTTAAATTTTCAAATAGGTGGCAACCCTCGTCAAAAATGCTTCCAGCGGTTATCTTTCTTAAACTTCTTTAACTTGATACCCATATTGTAATAATTCATTAATTTTATCAATATAATTGGGTTTAAAAATTTTAAAATAGGTGGCAACCCTCCAAATTTTTGCGATATCATTGGTTCTGGTATTATACCGAATAATAAAAAAAAAATTATTCAAATCGGTTCAGCCGTTCTCGGGTTTTGATGACCGTGACATACGAACACAACATTTTTATATATATAGATATACATAGAAGATGTCCAATGTGTGCTTTCGATTTTAATCATTGACCACAACAAAAATTCCACATTGTACATTCGTGAATGAACTTTCAGTTTCTCGATTACTTTTACAATTCCTTTGAGTAATTGAAAAAACTAAAGTACTCTTGCAATTCCAGGTAATGGAATTGAAAAAAAATCAATTACATTTTTAATTCCTTTTAAAGGAATTGGAAAACAAATTATATTACTAGCACGTAATTTATTCCAATTACAATATGAAATTCCTTGTAATGGAATTAAAGAAAAAACCAATTACATTTGAAATTACTTCAAGGAATTGAAAAAGTAATCGATTCCTTTGCTGTGGACTGAAGAAATTGATTCCTAATTACAATTCCTTGTAATCTGTAATTGGGAGTAGTTTAATTCCTAAAGGAATCATTACGACCCAGCTCTGATTTCGATCTTTATAAAACTTCGGAAAGCTTTTTCTTCAAAAATTTGCAGAGCGATTTACAATTCCTCAAAAAATAATCAAGCGCACCCGAAATTCCTCACGTTTTGAGGAATTACTCATTAAGTGGTCACACTGATACATACATACCTATTATTTATGTGCATACATACTTATTTACATACATAAGTACAAAGAAATATTTTTATATTTTTATTTACCTGCCAAACTTCCGGCAGCAGCCATATTGCGTCTTAGGGTACCACTTGGCGTTAGTGGCTCGCTCTCGGTTGAAGGCGGCATTGGTGGAGGTACAGGCACGTTTGGCATGCTATATGATCGAGGCATTGACTTCGCCATCTTTGTTGATGCTGCCGTCTCACGTTCTGTGGCTTCCACAAACGGCACAATTGTGTTGCGTGACAAATTGTTCTGATTTATATTGGTCGCTTCTGCAAGAGGGTTTAAATAGAGTTATAGCAGCAGCCCTTTTCGAAAATATAGATTTTTTTTAATGAAATTGTACATATGGGCTTATCCTGAAAATAGTCAACCAAAAGCAAAACAAGTACGGACAGTGTTGTCTTCGGCTATGCCGAAGGCTTCCTACCATTCATAAACATCATAAAATTTAACTTCAGTCTATTACTGTATGTTGCAGGCTAACCTAATATTCACGCATTCCGCCAATTTATTGTCAAAAATTTCTCATGCACATGCATGTATGGAAACAACCGAAATTGAACGGCGTGCGTATAAAGTTAACTCAATTTCAAATTTTTGTTCTGCGTGACATTTTGATTTGACGTTGCGCACGCAAGCCAATTTCGGGTGATGCAAAAAAAAACAAATTCGACGGCATGCGCACCAAAACGCAAGCCGCGAATATATGGTTAGCCTGTTCAGCAGTTGATTGGCAGATACATATTATACATTGATGTTTACTGTAATATTTTTATTAATGACTAGCAGACCCGGTGTACTTCGTCCCACCTAAAATTAATTTTTTTATTGAAACTCTTTCCAACATTTTCACCAATAATACACGATTTTCATTGCCACAGTCCTCTGCTAAGGTTATGGTTTAGTGGGCATTTGCTTATTTAAATAACCTAACGTAGGTGCTATGCCTGTGAACAAGTTCTTGAAATTTTCCAATTGTGCAGAATTTAACAGCATGGTTAATCTTCTTCTTCTTATTTGGTGCTGTACCCGCCTAAGCGATCTTGGCCCAGTTCAACAACTGACGTCAATTGGAAATGCCAAGTGAAGCCAAGTCCTTCTCCACTTGGTCTTTCCAACGCATTGGAGACCTCCCACTTCCTCTGCTACCACCAGCGGGTTCCGAGTTGCATACTTTCAGAGCTGGAACGTCGGAGTCCTTTCGAACGACATGGCCAAGCCAGCGGAGCCGCTGTATTTTAATTCGCTGCATTATGGCCATGTCGTTGTAAAGCTCATACAGCTCATCATTCCATCGTCTGCGGTACTCACCGTCGCCAACGCGTAAACGCCGGTATATCTTCCGCAAAATCTTTCTCACGAATATTCCAAGAGCCGCCTCATCGGATGCTGTCATTGTCCACGCTTCGGCGCCATATGCCAACACGGGCATGATAAGTGACTTTTAGAGTGGGGTTTTCATACGTCGAGAGAGGACTTTAGTCCTGTAGTGCGATTCACTAACTTTTAACAATGAGTTGTAAGCTAACAATTTTTGTTGTTTGCAGTAACGATTGTGCGATTCACTAACTGTGCTGCCGCTATTCGGCACCAATCCGTTGCATATGCCAAGGCGCTCGTGTCAGCACAAAGTCCACGAGCTCTTTATATGGAAGATAATGCGCAACACCCTCCACAAAAAAACATCTAAGAAAACAACGGTAACATTTAGCGACTTGAAACTTGCACTTTATTAGTGGGCTACAAAATTGCATAACAGAAAATTGTAGAAAGATTCTGTAAAAAATTCGGAATTTTGGTTAAATTTTTTTTTT